AGCAAAATCCCTGTTTCCAAAGAGCTCACAGTCCTTTTAAAGAAACCATCGTTCCTTCAGGAAAACAGACAGGAAGCATCAAACACAGGAATTCTTTGTCATCTGTGCTCTCCCCACAGCCACCTGTAAGGTCGTGTGTGTGTGTGTGTGTGTGTGTGTGTGTGTTTGTGTGAGTGTATTTTCTATTTTATTTTACTTTTGTACTGATAATGGGGCTTAAACTCAGGGCCTTGTGCTCTTGCTTGGATTTTTTTTTCTTTTTGCCTAAGGCTAACATTTTCTAGTTACTGAAGTCACACCTCCACTTGGAACCGAGATCATCAACTATCAGCCTCTTGAGTAGCTAGGATTATAGCTACGAGCACCCAATTTTTTATGACTTTAAATGTACACAAGATGTACAAAAGTAGAAGTGTAATATTCATTCTCTTTATAACTTGCTTTTTTTGTACCTACCAAAAGTTCTATGTGATTAAATATTCCTACCATTGTTTTTATTACCTGTGGATGGTTTAGAGCTGTGTATGACTATACCTGTATATGATCACAGTTATGTATCTTTACAGCTTTACTGACATACAAGGGATTCACAATATAATAATTTGAAGGATATAGACACTGTAATTAGCCCTTACCTTATTATAGGACATTTTATATTGTTATTTTTTGAAAGATTTTCTAATCTGCCTTTTCAGTACTATAACTATCTTTTTTGTTGTTGTTTTTAATCATGGGGCTTGGGCACTGTCCCTGAACTTCTTTTGCTCAAGGCTAATACTCTACCACTTAAGCCACATTACCACTTCCAGCCTTTTCTGTGTATGTGGTACTGAGGAATTGAGCCCAGGGCTTCATGAATGCTAGGCAAGCACTCTACCACTGAGCCACATTCCCAGCCCTCTAATCTGCTTTAACTAAAAGCTAGTGACTAGTAGAATTATTTTGAAAAATGGATTGCGTACTCAGAAGGATATACATTTTAAAACTTAAAAAACAAACCAAAAAACATTACGCTAGGCAGGTGGGAGTGGCACATGCCTGTAATCTTAGTAACTCAGGAGGCTGGGATCTGAGGATCATAGTTCAAAGCCAGCCTGGGCAGGAAAGTTGTAAGACTCATCTCCAGTTTACCATCAAAAAGTTGGAAGCGGAGCTGAGACTCAAGTGGTAGAAAACTAGCCCTGGGCACAAAAGCTCAGGGATGGTACAGGCCCTGAGTTCAAGTCCTAGGACACACACACACACACACACACACACACACACATCACATCCACAGACATATAAAGAATACAAGACAGTATATATTAGTGCTTATTTCTATTGATATTGATTTTTAAAAAGAGTCTCAGATTAAACTTTTATTATTCCAGTTGTCTTTCACACCAGGTATGTATGAAAACTACCTTCATTCCCATGCATTGAACTTTGGTGTGCCCTCAAGTGTCTTGGCCCTTACCTTTGAGAATGGGATTGGAGCCAAGTGTATATTCTTTGAGTACCAAATTTTATCTCTGACCTTGAATTAGGCCTGGCACAGGCAGGAGGGATGGGGGTGGGGGGGATGGAGAGGGGGAGAGAACCCCAAGATGTGTGTGACAGTAGGCTTGGCTTTGGTTGGCACATTTTTGCAAGCCACTGTCAGTTTTCATGGAAATCACCGTTTCTCAGAGGATGCATCTGTTCTGGGAGGTCCAGGATGGGTTAAGTGGCTCTGTCTACTATTTAGCAGCAAAGCCTGACTCACCAGGCAGGTGTTGCATTTCTTTTTTTTTTTTTTTTTGGTCGGTCGTGGGGCTTGAACTCTGGGCCTGGGCGCTGTCGCTCAGCTCTTCAGCTCAAGGCAAGCTCTCTACCACTTGAGCTACAGCGCCACTTCCGGTTTTCTGGTGGTTTAATGGAGATAGGAGTCTCATGGTCTCTCCCGCCCGGGCTGGCTTTGAACCGTGATCCTCAGATCTCAGCCTCCTGAGTAGCTAGGATTACAGGCGTGAGCCACCAACGCCTGGCAGGTGTTGCATTTCTTAAAGAGGCCATGACCAGCGCCAGCAAACCCCAGACTGAGCCAGAAGATGCTTCTGTGGTCCTGTGTTCTGCCCTAGCTGTGAGGTTGCAGCATCTTTCTAGCTCCCTCTGCTGGGGTGCTAGTTTGCTAGGGGTAAAGCATGGGGTAGTCCTGATTGGAGTTGCCCCTCTCTGCCTCTCTGGGGCCCAGCCAGGAATTTCCATCACAAAGGCCCAAGAGGCCGGCCTAGGCAGGCTTTGTCGAAGTCCCCAGAAAATCCCTTTATAGGGCAACCCCTCCCTGGCTAACCTTTGCTGTTGAAAGAGGAACAGTGGCATTCATTCCTCAGGCTGGAGCAAGAGATTTTTGACCTCTGGGAAACCTTAGCCTTTCTACCAGCTGCAGATTTTCTGCTCACATTTCTTTGTTTTCTTAAAAACATAAACTGTACTTGGAAAGAGACAGAGGGAGGGAGAGGGAACACATGCCACAACAGAACTTTTTCTGAAGTCACAGCAAGCATGTAGCTTTTGGGAATGTGGGAAAACATGTTATTGGGGGAGGGGGAGAGGTGAAAATCCCGGAGTGATTCTTGGTGTCTAAAACAAAGAATTGAATGACACATGTTGCATGGACATGCCCACATGTGTGCAGTGCACACAAACACACATAAGTAAAAGTTGCAGAGCAAGGAAGAATGTAATACAGAAAACACAGCATTGAGGGAAATAGCAAGCAGGCTTGTATTCTGTGCTCCTTTAAGAGGAAACATGTGCTTAGCTTTCCAGGATTTGGAGAGTGTCCGGGAGTTCTCTGTATGTACAGTGGGCTGATCTTAGGGAAATGAGCAACAGTGACTCACCACACTGGTCGATGGGATCTGCGTATGCACACAGCTGTCATCCCGTAGATTTAAGCACATGTCTAAGATGCAGGGCATGTGCAAGAAGCCCTGCATAGGAGTTTGTTGGGCAAAGGTCAGGCTAAGGATGCACAAGGATCTGCTGTGCAGGTGGCTTCATCTTGGTTGGAACTGGCCGAAGGTTTCCCTACCACTAGGGAAAAATCCCAGCTATCAACTGAGCACTAATCACCCTCAAGATTAAACTGCCATAGTAGGGGCTTGGAAAGAGGTAGGAGTGGGGCATGACTAGAGAGGGTGTTGGTTTCAGCGTTCTTTCCCTAGGCTTGCCTGCCCACAGTCAGGTGGTTTGCTCTCTGCACTGGTCTCCAGAGGACATGAACACATAGAACCCCATGCATGCTCTGGTCTCAAGCCAGAGCATATCTTTGCAATCCTGGCTTGATATCATGTGTGGGAACGGAAGTTTCAAACCTAAGGAAAATTCACAGGAACAGAGTGGGGAACCGCAAGGTGTCTTTCACCTGCAGATTCCACTCAAGTTTTCACTCACAGGCTGGTGTTCTACCACTTGAGGCATGCCTCTAGTCCCCACTCAAGTTGTACAAGTTGTCCTGGGTGCATCTTATGGTCTAACTCCCCCCAATAGTTCAGTCTCCCAGTCTGAAACTCTTTCATAGTTGTTCTTTCTTGGATGACTTGGACATTTTTTTAAGACTCTCTAAGTTAGCAGTTTAGTAGATTGTCTGTCTGTCTGTCTGTCTGTCTGTCTATTTGGTGACAATTGTGGGGTTTGAACTCAGGGCCTGGATGCTATCCTTGAACTTTATTTAATTTTTTGTTCAAGGCTAGCTCTTTTCCACTTTAGCCACAGTGCCATTTCTGAGTGGCTTTGGCCCATATTCCTCATATCTCAGCCTCCTGAGTATCTAGGATTACAGGCATGAGCCATTGGTGCCAGGCAAGTAGACCATCTTTCAACTGGGTTTATTAAAAGATAATTTGTTAAAGATTATTTCCAGAGAAAATACAGATACACATATGAACAGGTGATAAAAGAATTTAGCTATTTGAAATGAGAGAACTAGGCAGAAGTTATAATCGTTTCAAGAAAAAAATCAAAAGACTACAAGTTATATATGGAGGAAAGAAGATGGAGGTGAATTGCAATTGGAGGCCAAACTGGTTTTCTATCATCAGGCAGAAGCCAATTAAATCACTTTCAGAGGGGATGGATGGAGCCAGGGATTGATTGATTCCTTCCTTCCTTCCTTCCTTCTTTCCTTCTTTCCTTTCCTTCCTTTCCTTTTTTCCATTGCCTATCCATCATTTATTTGCCCATCCATCTGTTCATCCATCCACCATCCATTCTTTTATTTCCCTCCCTCCCTCCCTTCCTCTCTGACTTCCTTCCTTCCTCCCTTCCTCCCTTCCTCCCTTCCTCCCATCTTCTGCCTGCTTGCCTGCCTGCCTGCCTGCCATCTACCTACCTATACATTGTAAAACAGCTCAAAGACAGTGGGACTAGAATCTGATGACCCAGGAGGGTATGTTACAGATACTGCAGTTTTGCCATTGAAACATACACATCTTCCTACTGGTTTGTATCATTTTCTCATAACTGGACCCATATTATATCTTTGGCTAGACTTTCACTAGTACCTGTGGGTTCAGATTATTTCTCTTCCACTATGTCCTATTTGTGGCACATAAGTACAACAGGTATTTTAGCAAACTGCAGGGCCTTCTCTTACAAGACCAAGACAGTCAGCTGGCATATTACAAGAGAAAGCTACTCAGTCATTGTTTTAAGTCCTGTTCCTTTGGACTTCTTATTACCCATGGGGGTTTCTCCTCATCAACCATGAACCCATATTGGTTCAAATAGAGCTACTTGTAAGTAAATGTGATGGCTGGTGTAAGTAATTAGTTTGTTCCTTGTATTTTTGTTGCTTCCTATCATGATTTAATGTCCATTTATCCCTTTGAATGATGTATTGAAATGCACTGAGTGGCTGAGGAGCAGTTTGGCCCTCCTGGTTCTAATCCTGAGTTTTCTTCCAGATACATTGTTTGTATGAATTGACTATCACTGCTTTTAAACATGTTCCTCATGGTTGTTTTTAAATTTTACAGCCAATACCAGAAATTGCAGAAGATTATGAAGCCTTGGTAAGAATCTATGATTAAATTATGTTATAATCTTAATACTTCCTTTTTTCCTGTCTGCATAATTAAAACCTGTCCTCTGGCTTACTTTATAACTATGCATCTACATATTTTGAGTAAGTTACTTTTTTCCTTTTTGTTCGATGTTTTTAAAACAGTTTTTTTTTTTAATGAATCTACTTCCTTGTTTGTTTGTTTTTTTCCCTTGTGGCAGAGAGTATTTATTGTTGGTTACCACTAAATGATTACACAGGCCTTCCTCCCTCTATAGCACTTCTGGGTAGAGTTTTATATATGACTTTAAGCCGAGCTTTCTTCTTTTGTGGCTTATGTGATGTTCAGAGTTTGAAGGCTTTGGTTTTTAACAGTGACTCAGAAAGAAGGAAAAGCACTACATCTAAAAAGTATTTGAGACTGATGCATAGATTGAAAAATATTTGTTCTAGATCACTTGTGTGCTGATTTCACTCCTGATAATTCTCCTCTTCCATCTGCTCTTCCTCCTTCTTTTGTGTTGCTACTTGAGTTTGAACTTAGGACCTTATGCTGTTGCTTAGCTTCCTTGCTCATAGTTAGTACTTTACCGCTTGAGGCACACCTTCATTTCTAGCTTTTTATTTGTTAATTGGGGATAAAAGTCTCATAGATTTGTCTGCCAGGGCTGGCTTTGAACCGTGATCCTCATATCTCAGCTTAGTGAGTAGCTAGGATTACAGGCATGAGCCTGTAGGATAGCTTTAAAAGTTGCCTTTCCTTTCTTTTCTCCAGTCTGTATTGGGTACATCATTCCATGGAAACATTGGGATGCACTCTGCTCTGAAAAAGTTGGCAGCATAAATTTAGATGCTTGTTTTGAGACTGGCTGGATTTTTCTGGAAGGAAGATGATCCCTAGTAAGTTGAGAAACATTTCATTGAGTCATTGCAGCACACATGGTGTGCGGCTGGCTGTGACAGAGACGGTGGCCCGGTATGTAGTTTGCAGACGCTTCCCTTTGTGGCAGTCACTACTGTAAAAGTCTTTAGCCTAGCACATAATAAAAACAAATAAACCCAGGAAATAAAAATGTTCCAGAATGTGCCAAGCGCTTGCTTTTCTTTTATAGTGCTTTCCAAGCATGGTATCCTATACAGATGGAGTGTGGAGGTCGGAAGCTGGCTTCTGCCTTCTCTCCTGGGAGTCTGAATCTCTCCTCTCTGGAAGTGGAGATGAATACCCCAATGTGAGGGTTCCAGGACAGCTCTTCCAGCCACCTTATTTGAAAAAGGGCCTTTCTTTTGAAATGTAACCATATTTGAACATGCCATCTTTTTCTTGTTGCTGACGGCTTGAAGTTGAAGTCTGAAAAGCTCTTCCTCAGGAAAAACATAACTTATTCCAGGGAAATAGATGTTTAATATAGAGAACTACATACAGTGTATTATATAATGTTCTATCACACATATGTGTATTATGCATTTTGTTATGTAGTATATGAACATTTTACATATTTTTATATTGAATGTATTTTGTGTCTTATATGCATATGTATGTAGTTTATAGGAGGTCATATAATTCTAGTTATCATTTATGTATACCTATCATCTACGTATCTATGTAACATCTCTCTTTTATCATCTACAAATCTATTTTCTATCATTTCTATCTTGGATCAATTCTTTCTCTGTCTCTGTCTTCTATCGTCAATATGTCCCGTCTGTCTGTCTATCTCTCACATTACTGAGTGGACCAGGTCACTTCCTGTGACCTCCTCAGTGGGTGAGTGACATGAAATGCCCTTTCTCCCACTTGTTAATCACTCACAGAAATGGACCACTGTAAGTATGGAGAGCCTTACCTGCCGTCTCTGAAACAGTGTTTCACTTCCTTGATAGCCATAGAGCGGGTATCCTGATCCCTAACACCACTTGGAGATCTGGAAAACACATGATGTTCTTCCTACTTTCCATCCTACCCCCAAAGGTCCTTAAAGCCTGCCTGGAGAGTCTATAGACAAACTGGATTTCTTTAGGGCAGATTGATTGTCCTCAGATGGGCTCCTTCTGGCCATTTAGATTAGCCTTTCATTGAGCAGGTAGGTAAGAAGTAGAGACATTTGCTTTCAGATAATTAGAGGGAAGACATTTGCTCTTAAAGTAGCTACGGAAGACTAATATCTGGACACAAGTTTATTTGTATTCCCAGGCCAGGTGGCTAACTGGGAATGTCAAGAAGCATTTGAGCCAGGCACAGTAGCTCATGTCTGTAATCGGAGCTACTCAAGAGGATGAAATCGGGAGGATTGTGATTTTTGGGGGCTCCTGTGGTCAAAAAGTTCTCTGTACTCCTTTTTAGCCAATGAAAACCTGGGTATGGTGATGTCATCCCAGGTACAATGGGAAACATGAACAGAAAGTTTGTCATCCAAGCCAGCCTGGGCATAAATGTGAGACCCTGTTTGAAACATGACTATAGCATAAAGGGCTAGGTATGTGGCTCAAATGGTGGAGCGCCAGCTGAATGAGTGCAAAGCCCTGTGCTCAAACCCCAGTGCTGTCAATGAAACAAAACAGAAGACCAGCTTGAGCCCAGTTGTGGGCTCATTCCTTTTCTTTCTGTTCTCTCCTGGTTCTCTAACTGCTGTCTTTAACCGCTGACACCAAGGCAAAGATCTTGGTCTGAGTGGAGTCTGTGGCAGGTATGTGAAGAACCTGTAGCATTTCAAATCTTATTATGTCAGATTTGAGCAAATGCCAACTATTCATTATTATGTGATTGTTTTTCTCTTCGTGTGTAAGTTAACAAAGTATTTATCGCTACTAATACATTATTATGTAATAATGTTTTCACAGTACTGTAATACTGACTCCTGCCCAGTTTCTATTCATACATCTTACTAATTGCATTTATCTTATTTTTCCTAAGGCAGTTTCTGTTATTTTTGCACTCTAACACTTGTTCTCTTATAACTCATCCTTTGTAGAGTGAATTATCCTGGAACTTTTATTTAACCTGTCTTGCTACTGTTTTGAGTCGTCATCCACCTTGCTGTCTAGTTATTTGTTCTCTCCGTCATTTTAGTTTCCTGTTGGGAGCTTGTCTTTGAGGCCTGGCCTCTGGTGCCACCTAGGGCCCCTGTGAGATTGGGACTGCCTGTGTGCAGGAAGCCAGAGACATAGGCTGCTTTTCCATCTGGTTTTTCCATCTGGCTTTTCCATGTACTTTTCTCCCTTGTATGTTTTCTCCCTCTCGACTTTTTCCACATTGATGGCAAAACGTTTGAAAACCAGGAGCTTCCTGCATCCACAATGCTACTATTATGCCGCTGTCTCAGGTAATAGGCACATGGCTGTTAACTTAGCACTTGCCACATACTGTTCCTGATCCCAGGACTAGGCTAGCTCATTTTTTTCTCCAGTCTTCTTCTCTCTGAATGAAGATCACTATTGTCCTCACCACCACGATCATCATCCTCATGAATGGGGAGACTGTAGTGTTGGAGAATTCACTTAGAGCTTGATGTGGGGGCCCCTATGTGTGGCTCCAGAGATCACCACATAGCCATGTCTGTCCAGTGTGTATCCTCCCCTCTGGTCTCTGAATCACGGTCCTCCTCTGAGAGTCATCTCCCCTTGGATGGGCTTCTGCCAGTATCACGACCTTTGAAATAGAACAGAATTTCAAAAATCATTTTATTTTGAGACTGGGCTGAGTAGAAGAATAGCAGGAAGGAATACTGTGAAGCTATTTTTTAAAAGAAATATAAACCTAAATCCAAATCTGAATCTGTTAGCAGACTTTGTGATATAGCAATAATGGGATGTCTGATCCTCTAGATTAAAAATTGTAATGACCAGGCTGGGAAGGTGGCTCAGTGGTAGAGCACTTGCCTTGCATGCCTGAGGCCTGGGTTCGATTCTTAGCACCACATAAGCAAAAAGAAAAAAGCCGGAAGTGGCACTGTGGCTCAAGTGGTAGAGTGCTAGCCTTGAGCTGAAGTGCTGAGGGACAGCACCCAGGCCCAGGATTCAGGCCCCACGATCGGACCTCCCCCCAAAAAAAATATTGTAATGTCCAGCTTCATTAAAAAAAAAGTAACTACTGGGCACCAGTGGCTCATGCTTGTAATTTTAGCTACTCAGGAGGCTGAGATCTGAGGATTGCAGTTCAAAGCCAGCCAGGGCAGGAAAGACCATGAGACTCCTATCTCCAATAAACCACTAGAAAATCAGAAGTGGCGCTGTAGCTCAAGTGGTAGAGCGCTCGCCTTGAGCTGAAGAGCTGAGGGACAACGCCCAAGCCCAGAGTTCAAGCCCCATGACCAACAACAACAACAAAAAAAAGTAACTGAGTGTAGGAATCTGTATTATTGTATAATGTAGTATAGAAATCCTATAATTCTATCTGCTGGTAGAGAGTTTCTTGATGGTTTGGAGTTACTATAGATGATGATGATGATGATGATGATGATGATGAAAATTTATGATAAGAGTGAAAATTTCTGAGATGTATAAATGGCTAAGAATGTTTTTGAAATTGTAAGAACCTAGGATGAACCTCTGAGGATAGTATTTTACAAAGATGGCTCTTCTTCCTCCTCAACATCCCCTCCCCTGCCTCCCCACCCTCTGGTCATAGGCAACTTTCCATCACTATAGTCAGTACATGACTAGGTTAACTTACAACCAGAGGTGATTTATTGTGGCTCACATTTTAGAGGTGTTAGCCTATGATGGGCTGGCCCTGTTGCTTTGTGTGAGGCAGCTCATTATGATGGACTGAAAGCCCTTACTCCATGGCCAGAAAGATAAAAAGAGTGATTCTAAGACCTATGCAAGGACGCACCCCCAGTGACCTAAAGATTTCCTACTAGGCCCCACCTCCTACAGTTTCCATTGCCTCTCACCAGAGCTGCACCTTGAACACGCAGGACTTTGTGATTTACACAGACCATAGCATCCCCTAATTGCTCTGAATCTATAAACCACATATCAGACCCCCCTAATGAATGATGGGATCAGCAAACCCAGTATATGGAATCATAATACAATCATCATAGATAGTCCCTGAAACCCATTAACTCAGGACAGGATGCTGGCCATTGTAACATCAAGGTGAATGTGCTTATTTATCATGCTTACGCCATTTTTGTTAAAGTTAAATACAGAGGCTCTGAATCCTTACCTAAGGGCTGTTATGCTAATTGAGTCATTTTGGATTATCCCTCTTGATTCTTCTGGCTTATAAAGGGAGCATTTAGGAACTTTCACTGACTGAGATGCTCCTTACTGAATACTGATATGCTACCAACTTTATTGAGTGTGCTACCTAAAGACTTGCCATTATTTACTTCCTAGCTGAGAGCACAGAGGCTCAGAGAGGGCAAGTGAATTGCTCCGTGTTTCTCAGCTCCCTGGCTGGCGGCAAGCACCTGTCCCTTCCTGTCCTGTTTGTTGCCAGCCTGGCACTTGAGCTGTTGACTCTGCCCAGCTGCTGTCCAGTGGAGTGGGTCTGACTGCCCAGCTGCTTGTCCAGCGGTCTAGGTCTGCTTCCTAAAGCTGGCTCACTTGTGCACTTTCCCCACTGCCCAGCATCGACTCTGTGTTCCCCCCCCCCTATGTTTTACAGCTTTGGGGACATGCTGTCCTTCACGTTGATGGCCTTTGTAGAGCTCATGGATCATGGCATCGTGTCTTGGGACACGTTTTCGGTGGCATTCATTAAGAAGGTAAATGCAAACTGCTTTCCTAGGCTCCCATCACTCCCTCCTTTCACGGGTACCATTCTCTGCTTTGAGGATTATTTTATCATTGTTTCCTTGGGTTATGTTAAAAGATAGGGGTGAGTGTGTGCATGGGTGTGTTTTAACTAGGCCTATAAATGTGGGGCTCTGAACATTCTGGGTGAAAGTGACCTTTTGTCCCTGCAGAGAACATAAAATGTTGTGTGGATGAGAACCCAGAGTTAAGGGAAACTGTGTTGTTGCTAAGGACACAGTGTCTTCGGATGCGCTACGCATGGCTTCAGAACTCAAGAACTTGGCCGAGCTGCCATCTTCACTATCCATCCCCAACCCCATGCTCAGCAACAGGGAAAGAGGCAAAGGAAGCTGATGTCCAGCACTCATGGGCTTAATGAGGAACTGAGGAGGCTGAGGGTCTGGTTCAGGTGTGTTAGGTAGGGTCCTTCCTGCTGACTCATGGTCTTGGTGTAAGAAAGATTTCAGGTATTAACCACTTTTTTTCCCCCCTCATTTAAGATAAACTTTATTCCTAATGATAACAATTAGCATTTTTCTTGAGTATACATTGACTTCAGAAAGAATGTAAGGCACTTCATGTCTGTGTCAGAGGGGCAAGTTTTCTTTTTCTTTTTCTTTTTACAGTTTTTTTTATTGTGAAAATACTGTACAAAGGGGTTATAGTTACATGAGCAAGGTAATGAGTACATTTCTTATCCAGCATTGTTGCCTCCTCCTTTGTTTTTCCCCTACCATCCCTTCCCTCCCACCTCCTCAGCGTAAATTGTAGTTTGTTTTTCGACATAGCGTCTTGTACATCTCATTGTTGCAAGGGGTCAATCTGTATCCCTATTTAAACAATTTGTTTTTTCTCCTTCCCTCCCCAAATTATACCAACACCAAATACAGTGAAAACAGAAGTTAGACCGTGGGGGAGGGACATACAAAGCAACAAAAAAAAATCATATGGTACCTTATAAATACGTTAGAAACACTAGCAAGGAAGAAAAAAACCACTTGTGTCCCTATCTTTGGGTTCATTTTGCTTAACATCATCTTTTCTGACCTTTTCTGCTTGTCCCAGACATATACTAGTTATTGCAAATAAGGGAAACCTTGGGACCTATGTTTCTTTGGGGCTGGCTTACTTCTTAATATAATTTTTTCCAAGTCTTTCCCTAACAAATGGGGCGATGTCATTCTTTCTGATGGAGGGATAGAATTCCATTGTGTATATATACCACATTTTCTTGATCCATTCAACTACTGAGGGGCGTTTTTGACTGGCTCTTCTTTCCCAAGGAATCAGGTAGAAGAATGGGCAGAGATGGGAATGTGTCAAGTCAAAAACTTCACTTGAGAGCTGGGTTTCTTCAAATGATGGGAGAGCATGGCAGCTGCTCCATTTTCTAATGAAAATGGTTTGCCTTTACTGAAGTGAAATTTTCAGAAACCCACTTTAATTCTCAGGAAGCAAACTAAATTTAAAAATTGGATATATTTTTTTAAAAGCAACTTGTTCCTGTTTCCTCATTTCCTTTGCCTTGCCACTTACAAAAAAAGTCTCTTATATGACTTTGAAAATTAGTCACTAGAAAATTACTTACAGTTTTTGGGTAAGGTTCACTTTTTATTCATTAGCTGGACCGTATTCAGCATCCTGACAGCCCCAGATTTGTGCTGGCCTCTATGTTTTAAATGGAGCTTTATCTTGACAAAAATAATTAGGAAAAGCACTGACAAAAGGTGCTTCTCTCTGTGATCTTGAGTTGGCTTCTGATCAATGCCAAGTTCAGAGTACTTTGGAGAAATATTGTTCTCCTTGCCAGCCTGCTCTCCATGTCTGTTCTCTTTGTTATGTGTGCATTTAGATTTGAGTTTACAAATTGTAGCTGCAAGAACTAACACTATTTCCTAAATGCCATGGAACATGGAAGCCCTTGATGCTACTATATTGTAGCTTTTTTTTGTTTTGTTTTGTTGTTGTTGTTTTCTGTGCTAGTCCTGGGGCCTAAATTCAGAGCCTGGGCTCTGTCCCTAAGGTTTTTTCCCTCAAGGCTAGCATTCTACCACTTGAGCCACAGCTCCACTTCCAGCCAGCCAGCCTGCCTGCCTGCCTGCCTGCCTGCCTGCCTCCCTCCCTCCCTCCCTCCCTCCCTCCATCCCTCCCTCCTTCCCTCCCTATTTACTTTCTTTCTTCCTTCCTTCCTTCCTTCCTTCCTTCCTTCCTTCCTTCCTTCAATCCTTTCTTTCTTTCTTTCTTTCTTTCTCTCTCTTTCTGTCCTCCCTCCCTCCTTCCTTCTTTCCTTCCTTCCTCCTCTTCCTTTCTTCCTTCCTTTCTTTCTTTTTTTTTTCTTTCTTTCTTTCTTTCTTTCTTTCTTTCTTTCTTTCTTTCTTTCTTTCTTTCTTTCTTTCTTTCTTTCTTTCTTTTCCTTCCTTCCTTCCTTCTTCCTTCTTCTTCCTTCCTTCCTTCCTTCTTTTCTTTTTCTTTTTCTTTCTCTGGTAGTTTAGTAGAGATAAGAGTCTCACAGACTTTCCTGCTAGGGCTAGCTCTAAACTATGATCCTCAAATCTCAGCCTCCTGAATAGTTAGGATTGTAAGAGTGAGCAACTGGCACCCTGCTATGGAGTTGCTTTTTAATGACTTGGCTACTTAGAAGAAGGAAGGCCTGAAGAGAAAAGAAAGAAGACTTCCTGTGTTCTGAGTTGATTTTCCTCTAGCCAAGCATGGCCCTAGTACCTTCTCTTGGAAGGGAAGTTTCCTACGTATTCCCCTGAGGCCTTTGTTTTGAGGAGGCTCTGGCTTGCTGGGAAGATCAGATGATTTCACTGCCTAGACAACATTTAGCCATTGGGCTTCAGTATTTTGTCTTCTAAAACTTGGAGAGATTTATGAACCTCAGCCAGATGATTTAAAATCAACCATGCAGCCCCATGGTTCTCTTCTGCCTTGATAATGTATGAGAATTTTGAGATCTACTTCCTCAGCTTCTGAAAACTGGCCTAAGTAATTCTCTGATTTCGGGATTACTTTGTTTTGCTTGTGGTTGGTGGTACTGGTTTTGAACTCAGTCTCACATTTGCTGGGCAGGCTCATTACTACTGGAACCATGTCCCCAGTCCCCGTTTCCCTGTTCATTGTGTTTTAGACAGGGCCTAGCACTTTTTTGTTCTTTCTTTGTCTTGGCAGTGCTAGGGTTTCAACTCAGGACCTCCTATTTTCCAGGCAGGTCGCTCTACCACTTAGCTACTCAACCAGCTAAGGTCTTCCATTTTTGCCCAGGGCTTACCTTGGCTCACAAGGTGAGATCCTGCTACCTATGCAGCCATTGTAGCTGGGATCATATGGGTACATCACCATACACAGCTCTTTTTGGTGAGGTGAACAGTTGAGCAGAGAGGAAACTGAAAAGATGGTGTTTTAGGAACCCAAGGATGCAATGGACTGGAGGGCCCATGTTGTGTGTATGTACCGTTGGAAATATCTCAGGATATTAGAGTACCACACAGGAATCAGGACACCTGCTCAAAAGGAATTCAGCGAGGTTTTTCTTCCACAGAAGGTCATGATGCTGACAGGATGCCAAGTAAGCAAGTGGCGGGATATCTGCGCAGCTGTCTTATCTCTACTGTATGACAATCCTTGTTCATTTGGTCAGAACTTAGTGTCACAATCTTGAATGAATGATTAGTTTGCAAAGGGTTAAAAGTTTATCTGAGCCATCAACTGAGACCAGGACTCCTGACTGAAGCCAGAAGTTGTGAGGAAAACAAGGGAAGTGGCATAGTTAAAATAGCTTCTTGTGAGTTGGTAGCAGCTATTCTTAACATGGTGGTGCTTGTGTCCAGCAATCACTCTACAGAAAAGATTCCAACGACTACATCCACTGAATTTGTGCCCCAAAGAAAAATATCTCAAATGCATTCTCATGTTACTGAGGATATTAAGCACTTAATGAGTATGGATACTTGAAAAAGTGTGGCAGTTAGGAAGGGAAGAGTAAGACTACAATGATACTTTTTCATGCCATTTAATTTTTGGCCTTGTTGGAATAACCAAATGGAGCCATTTAGATACTGAGAATGCTTACTTCGAGTAATTCATAGTCAGTGCTTTTTAATCTGTCCCTGCTTTAAATGAAATACCTGTGGGTCTTGCTCATCTTGGTGTCTCTGGAGGACTTGCTGTGTGGAACCAGGAATGCTTATCACTGAGGGCTGGGAGTTGGTAGTGGGGGCTTGATAAAATTAGCAAGAGGTGCTCACGTGTGAGACCCCTGGACTTTTGTCACATCCAGATTCTATAAACAGAGGCAGGAAGGGAGCGAGCAATGAGGAAGAGCCCTTGGTAGAGAGAAAGTTAAGAAGTTCCGATCAATGAACTTTCTTGTGGGTTTTTCACTTTCCTTATGCCAGAGTCAGGAATTATACTGGAACAAGTTGGGCCCTGGCGGCTCACACTTGTAATGTTAGCTACTCAGGAGATTGAGATCTGAGGATCACAGTTAGAAGCCAGTCCTGTCAGGAAAGAGACTCTTCTCTCCAATTAACCAATAAAAAGCTGAAGTGGAGCTGTACCTCAAATGATAGAGCACCAGCCTTGAGTAAAAAGTGAAGGATAACATCCAGACCTTGAGTTCAAGCTCCAGTAGAGGCATAAAAATTTATTTTTAAAAAAAGAATTACATTGGAACAATGAAAATGAATGGAGGCGCCGGGGGGGGGGGGGGGGCGGATTCAGGCATTTACACTCTTCTTAGAAAAGATGTAATTTACATTAAAACCCAGGGCAGAGCATGATGGCCATTGGATTTTTGTCAGTAGGCTTCCCTTGGTAGGCCCTGTAGAGAGCTTGTTAAATTGCAGCAGATGTGAGGAGCAGAGCTGACACCTGCCTGGGACAATAAACACATTCGCAGGAGAAGAGCCAAAGCAGTGGTTTAAGGATTGTTAACATCCTCATGCCTTTCCTGCAGTTCCTATAGTAAAATGATTGCCTTTTGGAACATGAAACCAGGCACACTCCTGTTTTTCTTCACCTCATTCTTTCTTACCTACTGAGGTATAAATGAAGTGAGGCAGGTGGGGTGTGGAGATCTGAGGTAGGCTCCTGTTTGGATCTGTTCCCCCATTCTGGCTCCCATATGGAGGGTGTGGACTGCAGACATGGGATGGTAGCTAGAATGGTGTGTGTACACTGGCATTTCACCCCTTTAGGGAAGGAGGGAGTCTGAGGGGAGGGCCTGACCGGACCACAGAAGGGGATAAATTTGTGTTTAAGTGGGACTCAGGGAGTGGTTACTTGTCACAAAATCATTATTTTAGCTTTTAAGAAAGCCATCATGTTGATACAATAATGGCCTTTTTAGTGTGGGTTGTCAACAGATTGTAGTAAATCTTAATGAGATGTTTAAAATAAAACCTTTATGGTAACCATGTGTCTGGGCTGCCTTGCTCCATTATTGTAACCCTTCTCTTATTTTCCTTTCCTATTATATTGTGGTTGGTTGTAGTTAGGGATTCAAGGATTGATTTCCCCTTAGGGAATGCATTTGAGAACTTGAAACTATTACATTTTTTTAGCACTGCTAATTTAAAGAGTTTTCTTTTTACTACCTGTCGGGGAGATGATAATTTTTTTAACCCTAGAAGGAGAGGTTTTCTTCCCTCTTTTCTTTCTCCTCCTCCTCCTCCTCCTCTTCCTCCTCCTCCTCCTCCTCTTCCTCCTCCTCCTCCTCTTCCCCCTCTTCCTCCACTTCCTCCCCCTCCTCTACTTTCTCATCTTTATAATTTGGAATAGCCAGCTGCTGAAAACTTGCCATTTGAATTGCATTGATGGGTGTGATTTGTATGTGTATCAGAACATAACGAGTTGTGGATGGAATGAATGAAGGAAGGAAGGAGCAGCCTGGGGAGGGGAGAGGAATGGCTGTGCTTTACACTGAATTTATCCCCTCAGAGAAATGGGCCAGTCCGTGTAATGTACATGATAAAATTGTCTGCTTTGGAAAGCTGAAACTCAGAACACAATAGTCTGGGGGAAACCAGGCAGAATAATTCTTTGAAGATACCCAGTAAAGAAATGTCCGGGTATCAGTGATTGTAAGAGAGGTTTCTTTGTGTTTGGTAGGATGTCACCAATCTCAATGGTGACTGGGTGTATTTCTTGCTACTTTGAATTATGCTCCATCCTTAGAATCAGATATCCTCGCTGAGTTCCTGATGTGCTTAATTTTTTTCCTCCTTTCCCTGTTGACTCTATGAGCCATCAATGATGTACTTCTTGGGTTTTCAGATAGCAAGTTTTGTGAACAAGTCGGCCATGGACATCTCAATCCTGCAGTGGTCCTTGGCCATTTTGGAGTCCATGGTGCTCAATAGCCATGACCTCTACCAGAAGGTGGCACAAGAGATCACCATTGGCCAACTCATTCCTCATCTTCAAGGGTAAGCATGCTGCTCTCCTGGGGAGAGGTTGTTATCTCTGGGGAGGGAGCTCTTCTCTTTGGAGAGGGGCTTCCCACAGACAGCCACAGAGATGCCTGCAAATTATTTTGTACTATTCTACTAAATATACAAACAAATATCCCTTTCCTTTTTTTTTTTTCGGTTGTATTTACTGTACCACTTGAGCCATACCCAGCCCATTTTTCCTTTATCTGTTTTTGTTTTCAATAAAGTCTTGCATTTTTGCTCAGGCTGATCTTGGACAGTGATCTTCTTTCCTATGGCCTCTTGCCTAGCTGGGGTTATAGGTATGAACCACCAAGCCCAGCTTATTTGTTAAGATGTAGGAGTTGATGACTTTTTGTCTGTGTTGGCCACAAACCTTGGTCCTCTTGATCTCTACCTCCTGAGTAGCCAGGATTATAGTATGTCACCACACCTGGCAGCCTTGGTTTATGGTGAGTCATGCACCTCTCTCTCCCCTTACACTGACATGGCAAGGTGGCTTCTTATCCTTGAGGACTGCTTTGTCTGTCCTTGGCATTGCTCTGTCCATGGCCCCTTGCCCTGGGAAAACCTTCGGCTTTTAACCTGTCTTTGTGGCTATCAGTAGAGTTTTTCTTTTTAAGGCATAAAGCAATTTGTTCTCCTAAGTTCTTAACCGAGGGTGACCTAACTGTATAATGTTTTCTGTAATATCATGAACACCTTCAGAATTCATTAGAAATTTTATGCTAGACATTTTCAAGCAGTCTTCCCCCCCCCCCCCCGCCCTCTTTTGATAGAACTGAACTAAGGCTTTAGGCTTCTAAACAGTCTACCACTGAGCCACACTGTAACTCTTCACTAGGAATCTTTTATTGTAGTTATTTGAAGGAGTTTCATTTCAACCTGCCAATTAATTTTTTTTATTTTTATTTTTATTTTTATTTTTTTGGGTCCGGTCGTGGGGCCTGAACTCTGGGCCTGGGCGCTGTCCCTCAGCTCTTCAGCTCAAGGCTAGCTCTCTACCACTTCAGCCACAGCGCCACTTCCGGCTTTTTTCTTTTTGCTTATGTGGTGCTGAGGAATCGAACCCAGGGCCTCTCCCATGCAAGGCAAGTGCTCTACCACTGAACCACCTTCCCAGCCCTCAACCGGCCATTTATGAGTGTGCAACATCTTGGTTTGTGTCACCTCTTCCATCTCTCCCAGCCCCACTCATCCCCTTAAGTTTTCTGGGTCCATCTTCACAAGTGTACATTGAAAATTGTGACTGTATTTACCTACCCTTCCTCTCTCTACTTAGCTTCCTTATATTCCTGATATTAAACTGTCGGTTAATTGTTCAGAGGAGTTTCACCCCTGTACATATACTGCTCTCAGCACTGAGTGGTCACTCATAGCAGTTGTGCATCTGTTGTTTCCAGCTTAGGGGTGCTGGAAGTCTGCTCTCAGTGCTCACTACAGGTCTACAGAGGATCCTCCCTTTTCTTCTCCCTGTGGGAGGAGCCATGTTTCTGTGTAATGATGAGGTTTATTATGGCCTCCCTCTGGGCTGGCTCACTTCATCTGAGTTCTTTTGCCGTTTTAATTTTGCAGAACCGATCAGGAAATTCAAACCTATACCATCGCTGTCATCAACGCACTCTTCCTGAAAGCTGCTGACGAGCGCAGGCAGGTGCGCTGTGTTGCTTCCGTTTTTGTGTCCAGGGTTGGGAAGTGTTTGTGCAGAGGATGCCTTCTCCTTCCTCTCTGGGGGTCTTGGAGGGCTGCTTTGTGGCTCTGGCTCCTGCCATGTCACCAAGCAGGGTGTAGGGGAGGGAGGAGGTGGAGACTTGGGTAAGCCATTGACTGAAACGAGTGTTTGGCCCTAAGAACCCTTCCCTAAAATCTCAGAGCACACAAAGCTGGGAGCCTGGCGGATGTGATGGCCTCTGAGGTGGAAGCCCCCAGGGTCTTCTGTCATCTAGTCATTCACCAAGGCCAGGGAGGTGTCGTCCCCATTTTTCAGAGGTGTCCTGCCTGCTCAGGAGAACAGTAGATGGGAAAGCGAGAGAACGAGAGGGGGCAGCTGAAGATGATGCTTGCGGTGGAGATCACCATGCTCATGTATGAGAGGTGCTCTTGCTTGGTCCTAAATCTTCTGACCCTTAGGGTCATGGGTGGGGGAACTGAGCCGTTCATTTGTATCTTTGTGTATAGAGGGGAGGGAGAATCCCTTAAAGGTACACAGAAAAAAACCTAACTTTTGGGGTTCTTTGGACTATAAATTCTTTGATTCTTTCTCAAGTAGGGGGAAGGAACAGAATAAAGAATTTTGGTATGTTTTGGAATTTAGCTTAGTCCTCAAAGACCATTAATTTTTTTAAAATTCTGCCTGTATAACATAGAATGTATTACCCTGACCACAGTTCACTGCCATAGGAGAGTTCACTAGGAAGATCATGGCATCTGCCAGGAAATTTTTTCACAAGAGTGTAGAAAGCTAACCTGCTACTCAACGCTGTGCATAGAATCAGACTTTATTTATCCTATTTATCTTATCTTCATGTTTCCAAGGATTTTAATATCAGTTATTAAATGTGAGGGATTCTGATTTGCTTTCCATTTAGGATTGTTGGTTCATTTCTAGGAGTTACATTTCCATGGTTTCATCATTGTTTTGTTTTTGTTTCCCTGCTGGGCCTTTCCAAGCTCTGCCACTTGAGCCATACCTCCACTTCTAGCATTTTGCCAATTATGTAAAGATAAGAGTCAATGGGAGGGGCTGGGAAGGTGGCTCAGTGGTAGAGCGCTTGCCTTGCAAGCCTGAGGCCCTGGGTTCGATTCCTCAGCACCACATAAGCAAAAAGAAAAAAAGCTGGAAGGGGTGGTGTGGCTCAAGTGGTAGAGCGCTAGCCTTGAGCTGAAGAGCTGAGGGACAGCACCCAGGCCCAGAGTTCAGGCCCCATGACCGGACCCCCCCCCCCCAAAAAAAAAGAGTCAATGGGATTTTTCTACTCAGGCTGATTTGATATTATGATTCTCATATTTCAGACTTCTAAATAGTTTGGGTTATATCCATGAGCACAGGCATTGGGCTGTATTTGTAGTTCCTAAAATTTAATTATATTTTTACTTAAAAGAGTTGGTTTTAAAAAAAGTTAAAAAAAGAAAGACCAAAAGGAAAGAAGTGTGAAAGCTTCTTTCATTACCTTCCCAAAGAGAGACTTGCTACAATTTTGTAGTACCCATGTACTTTCCATGGCTGTGGGTCATCCTGCTTTGTTCTATGCAAATATTTGCCTAGTTGTGTCTTTTGTTTTGTTTTTGGTCCGAGACCAGGACTCGAACTTGATATCTAATGCTTTTGTTCAATGATGTTCACTTTCTACCAATGGAGCCACTCCCCCAGCCCAGAGTTTTGTTTGTATTTTTAACCAACACTCGGCATACTACATGTACTGTCTTTATAGAAAACTGCTGTTAAGATTAAAACTATGTTGTAGACATCATTCCGTATATATTTATATGTTTCTGTCATTTCAGTGCTATGAAAATCTCCCCATGGACTCTCATGTTTACTCAAACTATTCCCTAAGACAGATATCTCTCATGTTCACAAAGATACTTCTGTTTTCTCTCTGTTCTAGCTTCTGTTACTTAGGAGAGTACTATCAAATATTCAGTTGTTCCTTAATGAAATATTTATTGTCATCTTCTGTTTGCTGAATATCATGCCTGGAACTTGGGATACAAAGAAGCACATGGAGTCCACTGTGCCCCCAAGAACACACAGTCTTATGCATGTATATGTATATGTATATATATTTTTTGTAAGTAGATAGTCAATGACTAGTAGCTGTTGGACAGGAAATAGCCTTCTAACTATTGGCGACTGTCTTGTGGCTGTCTATGTATATCTGTAATTATATCTACATTTCTATCATTTCAATGTTATAAAATCATATTAACCTATAGCTGAAATAGGAGCACAAAGCATATTTTTAATTTTCTTTTTTTGGTGACTATTGGGCTGCACTTTTCATTTGCAAAAGGAATACAATGTTTATAAAAAGCAATATTGGAGATATATGTATAGAGGTCCTTTCGGTTATTTGTTTGTTACCTGCTCCAAAAGAAATCAAACGTAACCAAGCCAGATCAACCCTCACCCAAGAGCTACTGTATTTAGCTGGGGAAGAATCATGTAGTAGAGATGGCCGATGGTGTTTTCTGGGCTTGCCTTCAGCTTGTGTCTCAAGATGTGGTTGCCTTTGCTTTCTTGCTTTTGAGGGCAGGAAGATGACCTGATCATGGATTTCCATTTCTATGTCTTCTGTTCCCATATAACTGTAAAAGGTGTTCACAGTCCTCCCTAGGCAGTGGGTTGGCAGGGCATTGCATCAAAGTTGCCAAGAGCTCTGAATTTCCATCCCTTCTTCTCTCTTGCTTGCTCTCCTTTCTGTGGTGGCATTGGCACCGTTAGGTTGATGTAGACAACAATGTTGACATCCTTGAGTGTCCTCTGACTGTAAGTCACCCATGTTCCCTCTGTGGACCCTGCTGTCTCAGTCTGCCCTCATCCATCCTGCCTGTACCCCCTGCATCCCCTCAAGTTCCTTTCCTCATGTTCTTCGCTCCCCTGGCTTTCTGTACATTTATTTGCACCTTAGTAGATATCATGGTTCTGTTGTTGTTTTTCATTGTAGCTTAGTTTCTTCTCTATTCAATACAACTCGTAGCACCGAAAAAAAAAAATCCCCAGCACAGATTGGCATTCTAGTGTCTTCCTGCATATGAGCAGTATTTTGACTTTTTCTTAGTGTGTCCCAAGGATGTGGCTTGACTATGAAATTTCTCCCTTATTCCTTCCAAAGAGGGCCTGTGAATCATTTCATTTCATAAAACCATCCTCAAGTACTCTGCTGAGGACAGGAGAGGCTGGAGCACAACTTATATCATGCAGAAGCCAAGGGAGAATTCCACAGCATCACATCTGGCCAGATATTTGTCCATCTGAAACCCCATGTGGTTCATTTGCATAGCTTGGTGATCCAGCTCTGGGGTGTATGCCATTTGCCCTTGGTTCTGCACGCAGGTAGATGAACTTGCTTTTAGGTGAGTTAGGGATTTTAGGGTGATGGTTCTCCAACATCAGGATGTCCTTGCTGTGGGTGTGTGTTGTCTGGTCATCTTCATACAATCTAAGAAAAGCGGGTACAGGGTCCTTCCTCTACCCACTCAACAGCTCAAAGCTCGCTCTTTACCACTTGAACCACACCCCCACTTCTTCTTTTTGCTGGTTAATTGGAGATAATTCCAGTCTCCTGGGGCTGGCTTTGAACCAGATTCTCAGGTCTAAGACATCTGATTGGCTGGCCAGAATTACAGGTATGAGCCACTGGTGCCCAGCCTCTGATGCACTTTTTGAGTGGAAAACCATTAGTTTCTGGAGAGTGATTTTTCTAGAAGGAAAAAAATTCCATACATATATGTATGTATATGTATTCATATATATATGCCTTTGTACTTGGCTTTTATAATCCAAATGGAATATCCAGCCTTATCATGGAATACTAGTGCCTTCCAAGGCCACAGTTTTCTAAGAAATACTGCTGATATCCAAGCCCTGAAGCACACGGGAAGAATGGCACTTGGTTGTGTGGAAAAGCATGCCTGTCTTTCTAACCAAAGCCTTTGTGTGGGGTGTTTTTCTTCCCCAGGAAATGGCAAATATTTTGGCTCAGAAGCAGCTGCGTTCCATCATTCTAACAGTGAGTACCTAACTGGGGAGGAAGGGCCTGGTGCAACTTTAGTGTCCCTTCTGTGACTGATCTGCACTTTGTTCTCCACTGTTTGGTGAAGGGTAGGACTAGGAAGGAGGGAAGATGGTGGGCTCTGAGAGTCAGAATCAACATTTCTGTCCCACAGGAAGCGTCCTTCATAGTAGACCTAGTGTAGGAGTAAAAATAACATGATTGGGCCTCTGGGCTGGAGCCCGCCTTCCCGTGGTGGTTTTCTACACATACGGTTTAGCTTTGCAAGGAAAGGAATCAGAACTCCACAACTTCTAATACCTAGCACCATGGTGCTGCCCCAGTTTTTCTGGGGGAAAGCAGTTTACTTTTCACTGAGTTGTGAGCTGGAGATTCAAGCACTGAGACAGAGGTAGCTCCCTGTGCCATGATGGTGTTGGCTTCTTGGCAGTGTTCCTGCACTGAGTTTGCTTCTGTAGGGTGGGAACAAGGTTGCTTTAGTTCTTGGAAGTTGGATGCGTGGGTAGGGGACTATGATGGTGGTGACACCATTTGCCCCTCTGTGACCTGGGGGAGCCAGGGCCCGACCCTTTCCTTTAAGAGCCTCCCCACCCTCTGTTTCCTCTTCTGCACACAGTAGATCTTTTCCTGCCTCTGAGTCATCAGGGAGAGCTCTGAGCTCACATGTATGTTGGCTTTCCTTCTGAAGGGTGAGCCACCAGGCTTCATTCCTGGTTGCATCTAGATGCAGACTGCCCAGCCTCCACTTGGGCCTGTTGATGATGTTTAGTTTGTGGTCTGCCCTTTCTTTTTTTGGTAAGTATTTTAACAAAGTATTCCTGCTGCATGTCATCCGTGCCCAGCGGGCCATCAACAACGAGATGGCCCACCAATTATATGTTCTCCCAAGTGCTCACCTTCAACCTCCTGGAAGACAGGATGATGACCAAAATGGACCCCCAGGATCAGGTAGGTGTGCATGTAACAGCAGTAACATGTGACAAACAGAAAGTGCAATGCCACCAGCCATCTTTCTGCTAGCTACTCTGAATCCTGGAGTTTGTGAGGATCCTATAAGTATTGTATTACTTTCTTAGGGCTTGGGGATATGGCTTCTCAATATAGGTGAATACCTATAGATAATAAAACCAATTGATCATAGCTGGGTGCTGATGGCTAACAATTGTTATCCTAGATAGGAAGCTGAGATCTGAAGGGCCTGGTTCAAAGCTAGCCAGGCAGGAAAATCTGTGAGACTCATACCTTCTATTAACTAGCAAAAACCTGGAAGTGGAATAGCTCGAGTATAGAATGGAAGCCTTGAGTGAAAAAGCAAAGTAAGAGCATGGGGATTTGAGTCTGAGCCCCAGTGCTAGCAATAAATAAAGGCTTCCATTAGGCCCTGAACATGCATGTGGTTTTTTGTTTGGTGAATAAGGGAGTAATTTTAAAGTGGAAGCTCACTGGCACTGAGTATATTCACATTGTTATGAAAACATTACCAGGTATCATCAGGCAAAACTGAATTTCTGGGTCCCCTAAACAATAACTCCATTTGAGCTATCCTGCAACCCCTGGCCAGCTTGCTCCATTTTGCTTCCTGTTGCTGTGGTGTGGCTACACAGAAGTATTCTAGGCAACACTTGTCACCTATTATCTGCCTTATTTCACTCCACCTAGTACCCTTAAGGTTTGTCCTTGTGGTCACAATTTTTGTGTGCTGTCCCTGACGTTTTGTGCTCAAGGCTAGCACCCTATCACTTGAGCCTCAGCTCCACTTCTGGCTTTTTTGGTGGTCAGCTGGAGATAAGAGTCTCATGGACTTTCCTACCTGAGCTGGCTTTGAACTGCTATCCTCAGATCTCAGCCTCGTGAGTAGCTAAGATTACAGGCCTGAGCCACCGGCACTATGGAATTCTGTTCCTGCTGTATGTGAATGTCATGTGTTCATCCATTTACTATGGATGGACAAGGAAGGGCACAGGGGTTGGTTCTTCTTTGGGATCTTCCTTTTATTTTGGTTTCCTGTTAGTTTTGATGATGTGTCCTTGATTAGTGGAGTAAAAGATCCATTGCGACTGCAGAACTGCTCACGGGCCTTGTGAGCCTCTTGCTTTGTAGGTAGCAGTGGGCCCTCCCAGACTCTACCTCAGCCTACGCCCCTCACTTCCTCCCTTCCCAATTAGGACCTCATCTAGGCCAGGCCTCTGGAACTGGTTACCAATATTCCACATGAGATGGCAGCTGGGGTCACTGGAGAGATGCCAAGCTTGAGAAGCTGGGGGAGGGGCAAAGGGCAAAGTGTGCTCAGCTCTCATTTAGAACATGGCTTGACTTTTATCTGGTTTTCTTTTACTCTAAAGCATGATTCATTTGGACTCTGGGGGTGAAGAAAAAGAGAATTGATGTCACTTTGCACAATGACAGCAGATTCCTCTCCCTCCCTCAATCTAGGCTCAAAGAGACATCATATTTGAACTTCGAAGAATTGCTTTTGATGCGGAGACTGAACCTAATAATAGCAGCAGCAGCTTGGAGAAACGCAAGTCCATGTACACCCGGGATTACAAGAAACTTGGCTTCATTGTAAGTGAGTTCTCTCCTTCCACTCCCCGGGTGACCTCAGCCGCTGCCACAAGCGTGTGGTCCTTGTGTGCTCTGTAAAATCGCTTCCACATTTCCAGATGTTAAGTAGCATCACATGACAGTTTCTTCTGGCTGCAGGGGATGGAATAAGTTGCACAAGAGTGAGTGAGTGCTGCGTTTGTTTACTCGGTGGTGATTAAGTGTAGCCAAGAATAATCAGTCTGGAACGCATTGGCTTTCCTCAGACCTGCTCCTTCAGATGGGGCTGAGGGATGGAGACAGTTCTGGATGCGTCTTACGATTTGGTGTGGGACTGAATAACTTACACAGGCCAAGTCCTGGAACGTATGTAACACATCACAAGATTTGTACAATTTATGTTTTCCTGAGAGCTTTGTCTTGCTGAAGACACCAATATGCTTGTTATCCTTTGGGCATTTTTGTTGTTGTTGATTATTTGTTTTTTTCAGTCTGTGAATCTGAATCTAAAGTGTCCAGAACAGCCTCTTTTTTTCCCCTCAATAACACCAGTTTATGCATGTTATAAAAACTTTACAGGAATGTGCCTCTACTTCTTATCTTCTGTACTTTATAATTTATCAGACTTTTTACTTCATGTATATGTACATAAACTATATACATAAACTATATATGTATATCCTTACATATGTATACATACACAAAGTATAAATTTTATATATAAAGTACAAATTCCGCCCTATAGTTTACTTTAAACCACTGTCTTTTTTTTTTTTTGGGGGGGGGGAGGCCTGAACTCTGGGCCTGGGCGCTGTCCCTCAGCTCTTCAGGTCAAGGCTAGCGCTCTACCACTTGATCCACAGCGCCACTTCCGGCTTTTTTCTTTTTGCTTATGTGGTGCTGAGGAATCGAACCCAGGCCCTCAGGCATGCAAGGCAAGCGCTCTACCACTGAGCCACCTTCCCAGCCCCTAAACCACTGTCTTTTGAAAAGGCTTAAATCATAAGAAAAATTTCCATGCACTTACACATGTAGTTGGCATGTCTGAGAAGTCTTCCTTTATTTATGTCTGTCTCCATTTCTAACTGTTCTGATTTTCCCTAAATTTCTTATTGTGTGACATACTCTGTCAGCTTTTGTTTCTGAGAGTTTCTTCTCATGAAAGTTAACTAAACTTGAAAGTTACTTTCTCTGCACATAAGATTCTAATTTGAATCCCTGCCTCCCCTCTCCCTCCCCTCCCCTGAAAATGTTGCCCTACTGTCTTCTCACTTGCTTTTGATGAGAAATATGCTGTTCTCCTGTTGCTATTTTCTGCTGCCCTCAGAATCTCTGAGGGGCTTGATTATGATCACTTTTGGTGTCTTTTCCTTTGCCCCCAACCTGACCCACACACATGCTGTGTACTTAGATCTGTGTGTTCATAGTTTTCATCAAGTTTTTGAAATTTTAGCTTTATTCAATTCTTTTGCCTCTCTCTTTGAATAGAATCCTTAACTTTTTTTTTTTTTGTAGCAGTCCTGGGGCTGTGTGCTGTCCTTAAGCTTTTTTTATTTTTTCTGACTCAGTGTTTTGAAACCACCTACTCATCTGCAATTACAGTACTGCACCCATTATTTATGCACACATAACCCTGATCACATTATTAGGATGACTTTATAAAACTCATTTTTATGATAAATACTTTCAAAGCTTTCCATAGGGCTCAGTTGCTTCCAATAAACATCTAGTAATTCCATGGTCAAACTATCTTAAAATCCTCTCCTTAGTACCTCTTTAGTTAAGAATTAAGTTTGCAGTGTTAGTCTCAATGTCCTTCCTAATAAGGGATTTTTTTTTTACGACATACACAGCTTTTTGGCTTGCCCTGCAATGATACTCTGACATCATTTTTGTTCTATCATATCCTGAATTTTGACCTGGGAGTTCCATTTGACTGTTTAGTTGAATTGGAGTTAAAAAATGCTGGTGAATAGGGTCATGACTGACAGGACAGGTGCAGATTTGTGATGATGACCAAGCTGTTCTTGCTCACCTGACAGAGCTCTTTCCCAGACATTCAGCCTGGTGAAGAAGGGACTTCACTCCTCTGCCTTCTAAGTTTACTTTTGTGTCCTGAGCAAGGCATGTCTAAATTCCCTGGAAGTTTGCATAATCCATATTCTTCAAGTCAAATTTCCAGAGAGAGTTCAAGGCTTTGATTTCTCACGAACTATGTCAAAAATGTCTGCCATTTTCAGGGCTGATTGTATTTCTGCTCTAGTCCTTCATGATTGGCAGCAGAGAGCAGAGTCATAGGGAAAGGAGGGTGTGAAGATCGAACAGGCCTAGGCTTGTAAATGGGAAGGGGCTAGGGAGTGGGTAGATAGCTCTTTTTATTTCCAGACTTGGTCCTTGTATAAAATCACCAGTTTCTACCATGAGTCAGTGTGGCTCCGTCTATGTCAGATGACTCACTTAGGGTGTTGGGACATCTCTGTCTCTGTTTTCTATGCCAGGAGGGTGCCCTGTCTCATGAGTGCTGAATGAAGAGTGATATAGGGTTGCATTGGACATCGACTTGGTCTGGTTTTCTGGCCTGTAGAATAATTTGAACCTCTAATGTTGTGGGTGTGGCTCAAGTGGTAATGGTGTGGCTCAGCTAGCAGGGGGCATGGCCTCAGTGGTAGCTTGCAAGCAAAGATGAGGCTCTGAGTTTACAACCAGTACTTCCAGAGGGTGGAGATGGGAGGGGTAGAATTTGTAGGACTAATTCTCTCTTTCCCCCCCAACACATACTTTCCTGCAACAACTTGTAAAGTTATTTTGGAAAAAAAGTAGAACTCAAACGGACAATAACCAACAGGAGACATAGGGTTTTCTTTTTAAAATTATTATTACTATATATGATACTCTTTCAGTTTAGATAGTTAGTTTAGATATTCATGATGTTCTTTTAGCTTTTAGTTTTAGAACTTCCCCAAGGCCAAGATCTTGCATCAGACAGTTGAGAAACTGGAAGGACTGTTGATTAATGATTTATAGGGCAGCAAGCCAATAACTTTAGAAAGCTGCTTTCACTTTTACACACTCAGCCAGGCAAACTTTCTTAAGTACTAGGAGCAAACTCATGTGCTCACTCTTCTACCTACAGACCATGTGGCAGAAACACTGTCAGCTGGCTCAGGGCAGGCCGGGGACACCCTGGAATTGTACGTAGAGTTCTGCCTGATTCTCTGTTCACCAAGCAAGATAACCTTGCCTGTTTCCACTCACTGTCCTGGTTTGAGATTAGAGATTCCTTTTGAGATTTGCATGATGTTGTTTTGCCTCCAAGCAGGCTTGGGAGTCCAGTGGATCTAGATTGAAATTTTAGCTGTCTCCCTTCTGGCCCATGGGCCAGTGGTCTGTCCTCAACCTGTGTGCCCTTCGTTTTCTTCAGCTGTGAAACTGGCAACAACTTTGTGAGTTTAGGATCATTGGAGACCTTGTGAGATTGTGGACTAGTGGCCAGCATAGGGCCTGGGCCTAGGGAGTACTTGGCTGATGGTCCTCACTCCAGGGAGCACTTGGCCAGTGGCCCTCTTCACTCCAGGGGATACTTAGCTGATGGTCCAACTCCAGAGAGCACCTAGCCCATGTTCCTTCTCAACCCAGGGAGCACTTAGTCTACGATCCTTCTTGTTCCAGGGAGTACTTAGCCGATGGTCTTTCTCACTCTGAGGAGCACCTAGTCAATGTTCCTTCTCATTTTGGGGAGTAGTTAGCCGATGGGCCTCCTCACTCTCAGGAGCACTTAGCTCATGTTCCTTTCCACTTCTTCTCTGGGAGCACACATTAGAAAAGCCACAGGTAGCTTTTGGATTTGCTCAAAGTGGAAGTGAGCATCTCTCCCCAAGGCAGGGGCAGTTCACAAAGGAGATAAACAAATAGATTTGGCTGTGGGAGGGAGGGAAAGATAATGGAGAATGTTAAATTCAGAAGGGTTTGAGATATGCAGTCAGTCCTCATGACTCACGGATTCCTGTACTTGCAAATTCCACTACAAAGAAAAATGTTTGTAATCCCCCAAATGCATAAATTTTAGCTACCTAGACTTCCAGACCCTTGAGTGATCTGTAGGAAATGTCTGCACGGGACCATCAAGTGTAGCATTTGAAGTCAGTTATTAAGCCCAAGGTTCCCTTTCTGGGACTGGGTAGAGGGTTTCAGACATGCAGAGGCTGCTGTGTGGTTCATGCTGGGGAGCGCCTTGCACATGCAGTGAGAGCTTTCTTGTCTTGGGAGCTTGATCTCAGGATTGGCTGCCTCCTCCATGCTTCAACTGATCACACATCCCCCATGCTCATTTGAAATGCTGCAGACCTAGTTCTAAGGAGATCTAGGTACTGTCTGGCTTCATTGACAGATAACACTGACCTGAAATTAAACAGCCACCAGGTGGTGCAAGAGCACAGCCATTAGACCTTGGCCCAGTGCTGGCTGGGTTGCCTGCTCCATTGTAGGCTGTCCTGGGAGCCTGTGGGGTTTGAAATTGAGGGACCCACTCATGGGCCTCAGAGTCTCCTGCATCAGTGTCTATTTGGAATTAGAAGCATTCCAAGATGCAGGGATGAGGGAGGCAGTGGTACCCATTCAGTGGAGTGTGCCTCTTCTTCCCTCTCCTAAATTTCACGCCCAGTGACTTCTCTTGTGCTGTTGTTGGAAGCCTTATAAGCATGGCATAGCCCATCAAGTGGGCTTTCCAGGATGAGCTAGTGCATCGAAGACCTATTTGAACATTAAGTATTGAAAACAACAAAAGTGAAAACATATTTGAGGATTTAAAAGTTTGCATAGTTGAGTATATTAGCTCCCACTTGTAATCCCAGCTACTAGGGAGGTTAAAGATGAGAAGATTATGTATCAAGGCCAGGTTGGAGAAAAAAATCAGGGAGACCCTATTTCAACGCTAAAAGTTGGCCGTGGTGCCCTGGGCCTCTCATCCCAGCTCCATGAGCGGCACGAGTCGGGGGATTGATATCTGAAGCTTGAGAGTAAAG